TTGAGCCGACTTCAGTGTGTGCTGCCCGGCACCGTACTCTCTCCTCTCCCTTGCCCGAGTGTCCGAGGGTCTCTTGTGGATTTAGACCAAGGAGCAAGCACATCAAGGGAAGAGAAGGTCCAACTGAAGGTGATGGAGGCAGATGAATCTGTGAGCGCAGGAACACCAAAGATTTCCTGCTAATAGAGGCTGGCAAAAGAAGCCCCAAATGGCAACGTGCTAGTAGGGAAGGCAAGAGCTGTGGTTGTAGAGAGGAGAGTGCAGTGACGCTGCCTACACGTCTGTCTGTGTCGAGGGTGTTCAGCACTCCTGACTCTCCTTTGGAGCTGGCCCCCACCCCCTTGTCTAGCCTGAAGGGGAGAAAGAACATGGCGAGACCCCCGTGCTAAGGTTCCTCACCCTGTGCCCACCTGAAGCAGGACGGAGCCTTGAAATAGCCCAAAGTAGATCCAAGGTCACAGTGAATCCACGAGAAATGACTACTTCCTGTGATTTATGGAGAGGCAGAATAACAACTCCCATGGCAAGAGCCCAGCAGATATTTATTTATCATTTGAGTGCCCTGTTCCTGCCCTGTTCTGTGTTCATTCCAGCCACCTGTTCAACCCGACTCCCATAGGTCTTACATCGTATAATGAACCCCCTTCTATCCGTCTGAAGAATTCATCTCTTGAGCTTGGTTTGCATACCTGACTCAAAAAAGGGGGCTTGGTATTTAAGCAAACCAGACTGTTATTCCAACAGAATAGCCCTGGGTAGTTTATTTATCCTCAGACATTTTCAACTCTACCACAGCGGGCTGAGAATGGGCTGAGGAGGCCTGCTGCTCTTCAGAACACGAACTGGCCACTTCCAGCACCTGCTAAAAAAGTACACATGCAAAACCACTCTGTTGGACCCTTTCCACAACTCTGCCCACGCAAAATTCCTGTAGGAAAAAATCCCACTGATTATGATCTTATTGTCACACATGAACGAACACATCAAACCAAACCAAACCCCAAACCCCTACCAATCCAAGCAGATTCTAAAACAGTAATTTTATAACATTAATGTATTTAAAATAAGTTAAGAAATCGAAGAAGAAATAGAGGCTCTAGGAAATAAGAAACCATGAAAACAGGGCAGACAGATTAGAAAAAAGAATCGCGAGAACTTTTAGAAACTAGCAAAAATAAAGATGCATTAAAATTGACAATGTAAAGAATGGGTTGGACACCAGAGCTAGAGAGAGGTGTAGGTGGACAGAAAAATATACCGAGGAAATCACTTATCCCCTAGAAACTACAGAAGGGACGCTATGAGACAAGGAAGTCAGAATAAAAATGCCTAGCATCTATTTAAAGGTTCCAGAAGGAAAGACTAGGTGTTTGGCAACATCAGGAGAAATTTTGGATGAGATTTCTTTTTATTTAGAATTACAGAGGAATCTTAATCTTCAAAAGAAATAGCACATTATACTTCCAAACAGGATAAGTATTAACCCAAACTCAATGCACTTTATCGTGAACATAGATAAAACAAACAAAAACCTTAAACAAAGCCAGAAGGAAAAACAGAGTGCCTATAAAGAGATGGCAATAAGCTTGGCAGAAATGCCCCAACACCATCAGGAGATGTCAGAAGGCACGGTACCTTCAAAGTGCTGAGAGGAAATAACTGTCAGATTAAAATCCGTTTATTTCATCCCAAATTAAATTGATTTGTCTTTAATTTATCCCAAATTAAAATAAAATGCATAGCTAAACTATCATTTCAGAGTTAAAGAGTAAAATTCATACAAGGACTTGGGGATTTTCTCCCTCATGAGAAATTTTAGGAACTAGGACATAGACTACAAAAGGGAGAGTATTTAAAATCTAAGTAACAATGGTGAGCAAAGAAACCATTACTGAACTTGTGGGCAAACATATATTAGTGTTGATTTATTTATAAATAAAAATTATGATTATGATGACCACTTGGGGGAGGGTAAAATACTACTCCACATCAACATGGAAGTTAGGAGAGAGTGGTGGGCAGTAAAACAATTCCACGCCATCTAAGATACAACTATTTTTCATTTGGAGCAAAGGAGAGTGAAGAAAACTTAACACTCAAAAGAAGCAGCTAGTCCAAGGCCTAATGGACCACAAAAATCACAGTCTACTGACTCTGAGAGAGAAGAACTAGATGGTACCCAGATCCCACTCCTGACTGCTCTGACTGGGTCACAACAGAGGTCCTGGGCATAGCAGGAGAAAAATGGAGACTAAAATATCAAATGAACAATAAAGATCCGATTTGCTGATCTCGGACAGACTGGAAGAGCCCTTGAGAGCACGGTTCTGGGACAATCTCCTAACCTGGAACGGAAGTCCTGCCTGAGACCACCATTCAGACCGACAACAGAAGGCCCATAAAATAAGCAAAAATATCCCAGAGGAGTGTGTTCCTTAGGACAATCAACTATACAAGATCAAAAGGACATTTTCCCTCAAAGAAAAGAGGAGAGGGTTAGAAATCCAGATGAAAGGAAACCAGAAACATGGGAAAATCAAAACAAAACAGAACAACGAGGAAACTATAGGAACACTGTGGAGAATGCACGGACCACTTTGTGTAGAAACCATTGAATGGGAAATTAATTTGCTTTGAAAACTTTCTTCTAGAGCACAATAAAATTTATTTTTACAATGAAAAGATTCTTGTTGTGTTTGTTCTCTTGCGGAGCTGGGCTGCTAACTGCAAGGTCATCAGTTCAAAACCACCAGGTGTTATGTACAAGAAAAAGGAAGCTTTCTACTCCCGTAAAGATACTTGTTCTTCCTGTTCAAACTAGTCTGATCTACTTTTATTCTCATTTGCTTTTCCATATAAGTTTTAGAATTAGCTTGTCTAAATCTACAGAAAAATATCCTGCTGCAATTTTGATTGGGAATGTATTAAGTCTATAGATCAGTTTGGGGGAAATTGAAGGTTTATTTTATCGAGTCTGCCAATCCATGGACATGGTATTCCTCTCCATTACCCTTATATTTTAACAATGACCTAGGATTTAGCCAAGAGAACAAAATCAACCCCAAATCAAACTCACTGCCAACCAGTTGATTGTGATCCATAGCAACCCTTTAAGACAGAGTAGAATTCCCCTGGGGGTTTCTGGGCCACTATTAAAAGAAGGTAAAAGGCAAACAGGAGGAAATGTCTGCAAATTTAATGCCTCACAAACAACTTGCATGCAGAGTTATGAAGAACTCTCAAAATCCAACAGTAAGAAAATAAACAACCTAATTAAGAAATGGACAGAAGATTTGAACAAACATTTCCTCAAAGAAGACATACAGATGGCAAGTGAGCACACACAAAAAGATGTTCAACATCATTTGTCATTAAGAGATGCAAATTAACCCTGTCATGCTATACACTTCCTATCACAATGGCCAAGGGAAAACTAAGATCTCAGTGAGACAGACTACAATGATGACAAAATGACAATCCTAAACTACAGTGAGAATGCCGAGACACGTTCACTCACAGTGTGCTGGGGGTGGTCCACACTGGTATCGCCATTTTAGAAAATAGTTTTGCAGCTTCTTAGAAATTTAAACAAAAACCTATCACATGAAATCAGCAATTCCGCTTTACAGTACTTAACCTAGGGAAATAAACATTTAGATTCACACAAGAAACTGGACACAAATATTTTGATTAGCCCTATTCATAAAAACTACAAATACACAGTAATACAAATGTCTGCGAGCCAGCGTTCATTGACAGCGGACTGCTACTCAGCAGTCCACAGGAAGAATAAATAAGCGATAAGCCAGCCACAGCTCTGGTGAACTCCAAATGAGTGTGCTGAAAGAAGGCAGTCTCAGAAGATGACAGACAGCACGATCCCGTTTCTATGATAGTCTTGAAAACACAACATCATAGTGATGGAAAACAGGATAGCAGAAGGGAGATTTGGGGGTGGATGGAACTATTCTGTATCCCAATTGTAACCATGGTTACAAACCTCTAGACAGGTTAAAACTATAGTGCACCCCCCTAAATAAAATATTAAGTTTGCTCCACAAGAATGTTTGTAAAGAATGTGTAAGTTTGAGCATAACTAATAATGCATCATTTCCAACAGCCGGAAGAACAACAACAGAACTCAAGAAAAAGGAAACGAGCGAGGAAAGTATCAGAGAATCAACAGAGACAATAAGCTCGCGGACTACCGGGTGGCGACTGCCTCTGGGAAGAAGTGAGGGGTGGAGAGGGAAGTCATGCTTTATTTCATTTTAAAACGAGGCATCCGCAGGAGGACTGCTGAACCTTGATGGCCAGTCCACAGGTGTGTGGTACAGTATTTTTTGCTGTTTGTTTAGACAGGTACATTTCTTCTCTGTTTTTAGAACACTTTCTTGGCATAGTTTTTCTTGCGTTAGTAGCTGCATTTAAAAGTTTTTTGATTTTTTTTTTAAAGAAAAGGGAATGTAGTATTTACAAACCTTATAAACTCTTCAGACATGCCACCTTGCCAGAGCGCACAGCTCTAAGAACAATGTCACAGAAGCCTACGAATCGGGAGCCCTGAACCTCTCTGGTCCTAACCCACTGGGTGTCCTGGGGGCCTTGGAGCCCCGTGCCCTGTCTTATTGCTTTCCGCCCCACCTCCCTGCATCCCAGGGGTCACACGAGGGCACAGGAGAAGAGTGCAGCACGACCTGAAGAGAGACAGACAGATGTGCAATGTCAAGACTTGCGACGGTTAAACAGTCACAGGTTTCCTCTTGCTCAGCCCCAGTGGGCACTGCTTGCGAGGGGTGCACGTGACCCAGAGGTGGAGGAAAGTCATCCTTCTTCCTCAACAAGCCAGAGCCGGGCAAGCTGGTCCAGCTCTTTACGTATTTTTGGTATGTTCCAAGCTTCAGGGAACTTTATGTCATCATCGCAGGAGCACCCCACGATCTCTGGGAGATGCCCACTCATTCTTTCTACCAGTGCAGCAGGGGCAGGGGTCCACTCACCAGTGGCGGCCAGGGAGTACTGGTAAGGCTCCGAGAGGAAGTGTGGCAGGGTGAGGAAGAAGGCGCCTGCAGCCAGGAGGAGGCCCCCAAGGCCAATCAGCCGTGGGCGGTGGACCCGGCTGCCGAAGTAGCTGACAAAGATGATGAGGATGGCATTGCTGATCTGCAGAGAAAGCAAAGGGGCCGGGTGAGAGCTGAGACCTCATCTTCACTTACCTCCCGAGTTGGCCAGACTACCCCTGCTTCAGAAAAACCAGAGAAGCAAGAGGGTAGCCCATGGCTCTTAATGAAAAATTCCACCACCGCCCTCCATCTGGCCTAGTGCGCCCTTTTCCCACCACAACATTATTTATTTTCCTAAATTTTATTTGGAAATAAAATACACCACGTCCTTTCCGTATGTCCAATTCAGTGACGTTGATTGTGTCCTTCAAGCTGTGCCAACATCCTCAACTTCCTTTTCTGAGCGGGTGTTCCTCACTAACATAAACTCACTACCCCCAACACTCCTAGCGAATCTTCTGGGCTGTGGTCAGCTTGAGGCCATATTGGCAGTCCTGAAATGACAAGCATGCTCAAGGCAGGCATTTTGCACGTGTTACGCAACACTTGAAGCATTTCCTGAATGAAGACCAAGGACTGCAGCCTTCAGTATGCATTACACCTCAATGTCAAGAAAACTCAAATCCTCACAGCTGGACCAAATAACAGGTAACGTCATGACACATGGAGAAAGGATGGCAGGTGGCAGGGATCCACAATCAATGCTCGTGGAAGCAGCAGCTAAGAGATCGAATTGAGCACGGAGTGACCCTGCTGCACAAGACTTCCTTTAAAGCAAAACTGCTACTTTGAGGACTAAGGTGCAC